ATGGTGCGGTATGGGGCGAACCCTCTGCTGTTTTGCAGGAAGGCGGGGGAAACCCCATGCTGCTGAGAGTTTCCAGCAGGGGAGCGTGCTCCCCACCCCCCAGACTGTAGTAGCTATCGCAGAGCAGTGGGGTGAGGGGCTGCGCTGCGGGACCACCCCAGCTGCTCTGCTCTGCAGCTTCCCCAAGTCCGCTGCTCGTTAGTGGTGGATGTGGGGAAGCGGCGCAGAGCAGACCAGCTGGGGTGCTGCTGAGTTGGTCCCGCAGTGCCGCTCCTCACCCCCCTGCTCGGCGATAACTACTGCAGTCTGGGAGGTGGGGAGCCCGCTCCCCTCCCAAAAACTCTAGGCAGCGGCGCGGGGCTTCCTCCGCCTTCCTGCAAAACAGTGGAGGGTTCGCGCCCACCCCCCCAGACGCAGTGCAGGTCGGGGCAGACCTGTCACAGCCCCCCACCTCAGTACTTCGCGATAATTGGGCATATCCAGTAATCTGGCACCACCTAGGTCCCAAAGGTGCCGGATTATCAGAAGTCTACTGTAATTTGTCCATCCGTGCACCCTACCTTGTCAACTTCAACTGTATTGGTAAGAACAGGAATAGGTGGTATGGACTGTTATAAGTAATTTGTCTTTATCTTTTTGTATTAATGTTCCTTATGACTAAGATGACAAAAACCCTAACCTTCAAATTTAAGAACCTTAATGGTGTGCCTATTAAATCATAGTTTAGACTCCAAATAGTCTGATTTTTGGAGATTCTGAACACCTTGGTTGATTACATTTTTAATAAGAATTACAGGTGTAAACCAGCCAGACAATTTATTTCCCTGCCTAGCATTTTTAAAAGCTTGGTAGAAATAACTTGAACCCTCTTAGTACACTTCTCATGATTATATCTGAATACAACTTAATCTTACTTTTTTTTTTAATAGTCCTCAGACTCTTTTGGCTGGTATGAATAAATTTTTGTCTCAGCTTGAAATTACTTTCAGAAGAGACCCCAACAACTACAGACCAAGAATAAACAAACTCAATTCAATCAAGGTAAGAAACTGCCTTAAAGCATGATCAACACAATTTTGTCTAATGAACTAAGACCTGAAAAATACAAATTACTGGATACATTCCTTGTACTTTGCACAGCAAGCAAAGTGGAATTAAGAGGCAAAGTCAAGGATGGTCTTAGTTATTTTTACCCCCACTATCACACACACTATTTCAGCACATCAAGTTTAGTTTGTCAAGGAATTTTCCAAATGGGCAAAATATGCTGAAATTTTCTTATTTTGTTTTTAAAGGATGTGGAACAAAAGAAGAGTGGAAACTACTTTTTCTTGGATGACTAGGAGAAATCGAGAATCTCCATAATCAGTTTATAAAAATGCAAATTGAAATCTGAACACTGTTATATAAAAACACTCAATCAGGTTTTAGAATACCCTTCATTCTGGAACTTAATGTTATTGCTATGTGTAACATCAGAAGCCAGTAGACATGTGAATTTCAATTTGAGCAACAGAAACTGCCATTCTTGTATTTTGGTGATATGGTTGTATTTTGCAGATAACTTTCCAGAATAGATGCCTGATAAATTGTTATATGAATAAGTCTCCAGCTGTTTCAAAATTATGGGGAAGCTTTCAGTCTAAAGGTAATTTATTTGCATACCACATACTGACCAGTTTTCTTTCATTTTTAAAAATCTTTGAAAGCTGTTTTCTGTAGAACATGAAGGTTTACAATGTCAAGATTCCAAAACTGCTGATTTTAAAAGCAAGTTTGACACACTCTGGCTGAGGATTTCATAAATAAATATCCATCTGAAATATCATTTTGTCTTCACTCACCATGGGGGTACAATGCTTGATAAGATTCAGATCATTATCTTAAGTATAATATATACACATCCTTTTCAGTTTTATAGAATTACTTTGTCAATTAGCTACACCATGAGTTTTAAATACTTTTGGTGCTGTTATTTTTCAATACATGTTCTCTGAATTGTTGATCAGTCTTAATAGAGTCATTAAGGCATACCTCTGAACATCTGCTTTAACTATATACTTACTATTAAATACAGATAGCATTAGGCTGATAAATTAAAGCAGTGACTGGTTCTAGCTGCTTATGGTACAAATGTAGTTAGAGGTAAGGTTGTGTTGCTCAGTAAGTCTGCAGCTGCTTCACAAAAAAGACAACTCGTTTTCAGGGGAATGTTATCAAAAGATGACACATGCATCTTTTTGTGCAGTTAGGGCAATTATGTTTATTCTAGGAAATGGTGGGATCTGTTGGCTTCTATTTTGACAGCTTTTTTTAATGCATTACTGAAAAGGTGAAGCTGCAAGCATAAGTTTTTCAGTCCAGTCCATTTCTGTAACAAATTACACTTGTTTTTTTGAAATCAAGGACCTTAGCTGCAGTCCTGTATTAATCAGTTCTGTAAAATTCTTGCTGTTTTCCAGTACTAAATCTACTGCTTTAAAATGGCACATCCCCTTTTAGTTTCGAAGAAATGTCAGTCCCCAGATGCTCCAAGATATTAAAAAAACAACTTATCACCATTAGTAGAATTTGTCCTTATGTAAGAGAAATTAAAGTTCTCTCTAATTACACATTTTCAGTACTACAATGAAAATTTTAGAGGTCTTTTGTATCCAAATCAGATGTGGGAGTCTGGAGCAGAATAATCCAGCCATAACTAGGTATTCTATCATGTCTGTTCATCCCTGTGGCAGCTGGGGTTTTACTTCCTACACCAATAGGTCTTGTCTTACATATTCATATCTAGGTGGTTTCCTTTTTATATTCTAAGATAGTACACAGCACTTGCTGTAATCTGCACTAGCTTTCCTTTCGCCTAAATCCATTTCAGGGGTTTGACTAACAATGCTCTTAATGTGGAAAGGCATACAGTCTTCAGTATTTTCCCTCTCCTAGAATTTCGCAAGGCAGATATGCTTGACTGCTTTACAAGATGAGGAACATAGTGACATAGCTATGCCAGTACTGTAGGCTTTGTCTACACTTACGGGCTTGTGCTAGAAGGATTTTTTTTCCATTGCTATTGGAGCACTCTGTAGCAGAGGCAGCCACATGAAAGCATTGTGTCAGCATCAGTAACAGGGTGGACAGAAATTTGATAGGGGGCCACTAACAAGTGTTTCAGGATCTGGGGTGGAAGTTAGATGCAAAAGGGAGCTTAGGGTAGGGGATTGGTAAACAGTAAAGAATAACTATATAAATATGCAAACATGGAATGAAATGGGACTACTAGAATGAAGATGTGAGTGGACTTTAAAGATTAATAGAGGTATGGCCCCCTGTAATAAGAGTAATAGGGAGCAGGAGACAGTCACTGGGTAGCTAATGTGAATGAGGACTTGGAAGTAGCTACCCCAACTACTTAAACCTAAACAGCTTAAACCCAGGTAACTATAGGCCTGTTAGTTTGACATCTTGGAAAAAATTTTGAAGGAGAAAGTAGTTAGAGACATTGAGGTTAATGGCAATTGGGACAAATTACAACATGGTTTTACAAAAGGGAGATCATGCCAAACCAACCTGATCTCCTTTTTTGAGAGTAACATTTTTTAGATAAAGGAAATGCAGTGGATCTAATCTACCTCGACTTTAGTAAGGCATTTGATACAGTACCACATGGGGAATTATTGGTTAAATTGGAAAAGATAGGGATTAATATGAAAGTTGAGAGGTGGATAAGCAACTGGTTAAAGGGGAGACTACAGCGGGTCATACTGAAAGGTGAACTGTCAGGTTGGAGGAAGGTTAATAGCGGAGTTCCTCAGGGATCAGTTTTGGGGCCAATTTTATTTAATCTTTTTATTGCTGATCTTGGCACCAAAAGTGGAAGTGTCCTAATAAAATTTGCGGATGACACAAAGTTGGGAGCTATTGCCAATTCAGAAAAGGATCGGGATATCATACAGGAAGATCTGGATGATCTTATAGATTGGAGTGATAGCAATAGGATGAAATTTAATAGTGAGAAGTGTAAGGTTATGCATTTAGGGATTAATATCAAGAATTTTAGTTATAAGCTGGGGACACATCAGTTGGAAGTAACGGAGGAGGAGAAGGACCTCGGAGTCCTGGTTGATTATAGAATGACTATGAGCTGCCATTGTGACATGGCCGTGAAAAAGGCTAATACAGTCTTGGGATGTATTAGGCAAGGTATTTCCAGTAGGTATAAGGAGGTGTTAGTGCCATTATACAAGGCATTGGTGAGACCCCATTTGGAACAGTGTGTGCAGTTCTAGTCTCCCATGTTTAAGGAGGATGAATTCAAACTGGAACAGGTACAAAGAAGGGCCACTAGGATGATCCGAGGAATGGAAAACCTGTCTTATGAAAGGAGACTCAAGGAGCTTGGCTTGTTTACCTTAACCAAAAGAAGGCTGAGGGGGGACATGATTGCACTCTTTAAATATATTAGAGGGATAAATACCAGGGAGGGAGAGGAATTATTTAAGCTTAATTCCAATGTGGACACAAGAACAAATGGATATAAGCTGGCTAGTGGGACGTTTAGACTTGAGATTAGACGAAGATTTCTAACCCTTAGAGGAGTGAGGTTCTGGAACGGCCTTCCAAGGGAAGTAGTGGGGGCAAAAGATCTATCGGGCTTCAAGATTAAACTAGATGGGTTTATGAAGGGGATGAGATAACATGATCTTGCTAACTAATTGACCATTATTAGTGGTAAATAGGTCAATGGAGGGATGATAGGATTTACTATAGAGAACTTTCTGGGTGTCTGGCTGATGAGTCTTGCCCACATGTTCAGGGTTTAGCTGATTGCCATATTTGGGGTCAGGAAGGAATTTTCCTCCAGAGTAGATTGGCAGAGGCCCTGGAGGTTTTTTGCCTTCCTCAGTAGCATGGGGTACAGATCACAGCTGGAGGATTCTCTGCATCTTAGGATCTTCAAACTATTTGAAGGCTTCACTATCTGAGATATAGGTGAGAGGATTATTCTAGGAGGGGGTGGGTAAGATTCTGTGACCTGCATTGTGCAGGAGGTCAGACTGGCTGATCATAATGGTCCCTTTCGACCTTAAAGTCGGAGTCTGAGCTTAATGGGACTATATGGGGATTCTAGATTGTCATCTAAGGTTTCTACGTCAATATCAAAGAATTCATAAATGTAGCCAGAGGCATGGGGCTTATGGTGTACAAGTGTCACACTATAGCCAATCATAGAGTCTGAAACTGACACTGGCCAACTGTAGGGAATGACAATTAAAGCTGCCTAGGTCTGTGAAAGGTACCCAGCCTTGAACCTGCAGAAAAAGGACTAGATCTAAATGGGGGCAGGGGAATAGGGGAGGTTGCAGTCAGTCAGCTCCTCACCAATCTTTGGGAGAGATGGTTCATGTAAAAGGGGAGGCCAGCAGCACCTTAGTTAGAATATTCAGCCTCAGAGTGAAGCAGAGATTCCAGTTTGAGTCACATATTGCTTGCAACCGCCTTAGTGCTATAAAACGTAAGTTATCAGGATTGATATGGGTACCATCCACCCTGTACTGAACACTTCTAATCAATATGATGGTGAAAACAGCAACTTGCAAGGCGCTGCCAGAGCCAGATAGCGTAGTACTCCCCCCATTGGTTCACCAGCAGTGTTGCAACACTAGAAATTCTTAATTTTTAAAAATTATCCAAACAAAGCATACCTACCATTTAAAAAAAAAAAACACACATTGACCACCACTGGTTCAGAGATTATTTGAGCCTACTAATTCCACTAGCAATAGTTGTAGGCAGTGTTAGCGACAATGAGACTAATCAGGCATGGCAGAAACAATAGTAGATTGACATGAAAGTATTCAGGGTTTTAGGAACATGTTAAAGGTTAGTAAAGAAATCCAAGCCCTCACTAAAAGTTTATGCTGTAGTTTGTAAAGGAATATGCATGCAGAGCTTATAAAGCAATTAAACAGCCTGTTGAGGTAAGAAGCAAAGATAAGGGTGAGGGTGGGGATGATGATCAAAGCAAAACAGCAAATTGCAAAGAGCACCTAACAAAAATTAAGATTGTTGCACAAACATGGACTCTCATTGCTTGATTCATATAAATGCAATATTTTAATACTTGCATTTAAAAAACAAACCTTGAGTTCCTTTTTCAATTCCCAGTTATGCTTATGAGTGTTGTATCCATATTTCATAAGGTTCCAGTGATATTGAAACCACCTCCTTCAGGAAGAATACACATATAGTACTTTAATCCACAGATCTCAAAAATTCTCTACAAAGGAGAGTCCTATTTCCATTGTATAGTGAGAAATGCTAATTTACTCACCCAACACTGTTGAAAGCAGAGCCCAGAATCAAAGTCATTAACTCCTAGAATGGATGTTGAGATGTCTGTGGCTCTAACTCCCACTTCCATACTTAACTATTACATCAGATAAAAATCTATAACAAAGCATTCAAGTTTCAGTGTACTATACAAAAGAATTTGTACCAGTAAGTATTGATAATACAAGTAAAAGTGACATGGGGGCACCCTTATAAACACACATCCCTCAATATAACTGGCTTTTGGAACAAAGGTTCCCACCCCAAAAAACAGTACCAATACATTTCTGAAGTGAAAATTCAGCTTGAAAAATGTAAGTAAAAAATTAACCTGAGTTCTTGCTCTAGGGAAGTCTGAAACCTCCCCAGCTGCAGGAAGCTTTGTAGCTGTACAGCTTCCAGAGCCCTGCTTCTTACAGCCTACCCCACCCCCAACCTCTGCAACCCTCATTCTACAATGCTGCTGGTGGCAGCATAGGCTTTAGAGCTGGGCACTGTCCCCACCAGCAGTATTGCAAAAGTAATGGTGGCAATCCTCCAAACCCTCTACAGTAGCTTTGCAACCCTCCATGACACTCTTGGGCTTGGAAACACCTGAAAGTTTGTTTTAAAAATCCAAGCATCATGAAATTGACCAAATTGAGCAGTGAATTTCTAAGGGTCCATAGACACAGTTGCCTCACCAAAATTAAGTACAGAACAAGCTTCAGAAGACTAGAGAACTTTTGACAATGAAAGTTGAAAATGGATTTTTATTCAGTTAAGTCTTTGGGTCTCATTTTTGTCAATTCCTGTTTATTTCAAACAACTAAAGATTCTGTCCCCTTACCTTATATGCAGTAGGCTTCTATAATGGTCTGGCTTTTGCAGTCAGATCTGGACCTAAGCAAGACCAAAGCTTACTCAGTCAGACCCAACCCTTCTCCCAAAACTCAATCACCTCTGCCCTTATGGATGGTGCCCAACACCAATAGCTTGTCCTGCTGCAAAATGTGGGTGCTGTGCTGCTTTGTAGTAGACTCAGAATGCACCGATGTGGCAGACAAAAGCAGGACATGCAGCCCCTACTGTGCTGACTCTACAGCTAGGAGTTCTTCAGAAGCAACAGGCAGGATAATTTTCCAACCTAACCTGAACCTGACACTTGTAGCTGGGTCCCATCAGGTTGGGGTGCAGTGCTCTAGGCCCCCATTCAGCAAGGTACTTAAGTATATGGATCACTAAGTGCAGTCCTCTAGCCTTAACAGAATCCACATGCTTAAGAACTCTTGCTGAATCACATCCTTAATAGTTGATGGCCGATAAACAAGTTTTGGGACTTTCTTTGCCCAACAGGTCTTCCAACAAAACCAAAGATAGCTAGACTTGACATTCATTATTTCTCTCTCACTCACTCACACCTTACACCCTCCTTTATACATGATAAAGCAAAGGGACAGGGTGCAAGGTTAATGTTAGAGTCCTGCAAATCACTTTTCCTTTCAAGAGTCCATTCCTTCCAATGCTATTATACTCCTGTTGAACATCAGCCCTTGAGAAAAGTTTCTAGAAAAGTGCACTTTCCTACAATGAGAAATTTAAATCAAATGTTACACACCCCTCATAATACATACAAAGGCACGTGTGACTATACATCTATTTCAGTGCCCACAGAAGTCAGTGAGCAATGGATTGATTTCAAATAGCACCATTTTAAGGATCAGCCAAAAAAAACAAAAACACTACACAAAGTAAAGAGTAGCTTAACATTATTTGTTCCCCCATTAGTTTATGTATTCATTGAATATGAACAGGGAAGCAAAAGTTTAGTAGAGCCCTTCATTGTTGTTTTTCACAGCACCCTTGCAGGCTATAGTTTTAAGAGAAAGTGAAAGGACAAACATTTATTTTTAATTAGGTGTTTTATACACAACATGCATCTGAAAAAAATTGCTTTGTCACATGTATAACAGTATCACTCAAGTTTCCTGATCAAAAGGTATACAATCGCATAGACATGAATAAAAGGGCACCATCACCTTTTACACTGGTATATACAGAGATATAAAAATATACACAACAATTAATTTTACAAAGCAACAGAGCTGAGTGAATACTGTGCACACTGCACTCTCTGAGTTTGGATAGCTGAGTATCCCAGCTTCAAAGGCAATAATCAGGAACACTGCAGAAATCTTTAAGAGTCAGAAGAAACAGCAATCAGAACTCTGACAGTGTAAAAATATAAGGCAGAGGCTGTTTTCTTCTGAATTCTAGAGCATATATTTTGAAAACACATCTATCCTGTTTTTAAAAAGTAGTTTCAGCAATGAGTTGTACATGCAAAGCGTAACCAATATGCATCAACAGTGCAACAACAAAGAACTCAACAGTAGCTCACCATACAAACTTAAAAAAAAAGTAACATTTTATGCATCTCTGCTCACAAAATATTTAGGATTTGTCAGTGCATTAGTGTTAAAGTGGCATTAAAAAACTTCTGCTATTATAACAGATGCAGAATATTTTGGAAATGCATAGCATCTACATTTTTATTGTCTTTGTAAATATTTTGTTGGCATAGGCACCATTATAGTCACATCAGTGTTAAGAATTCTTGGTGGAAACAGCCATTCCATTTAATTTTCAATTCACACAGCTATTCTTGACTCTCAACAAATGCTTTTTAAAATTCAAAAATATGCCCTATGACTATTAAAAGAACTATATACAACATATCTACGACACAGCTAGCCCAATGCCATAGATGTAACACACGAAAGAGAAACATTCAAGTTTGACAGATTTTGAGATGAAAGGCCTTTGGGTTGGAAGCATATCAAAAACAGTACGATAGACTGAATTCCTTTAGCTCAGTTTAGAACGAAGGTATCGTATGATAAAATATACATATATATTTGGTGCAACACTACCAGTTTTAGAACCTAGATCATGTCAAATACTGTATGTCACTCCAGTGAACATTTTATTGTAACACAAACTTCTATGGAAAAAAAATTCAATATTAAACCTGTATTGTTTTTATATTTTAAAACAATTTTATTTTCTACTTCCAGAAATTTGAAAAAAATGCTAAACCAAAATGTATTTAATTGCCAAGAAATGTAATGCTAGGACTAGGAGTTTGTTCTCCCAGGCCTTACTCTGAGTGTACAAATATACCCCATTGTAGAACAAAAAACCTGGGAAGATTTTAGAGTCTATACATTAAATTTGTATTTGCATTTGAAACCTTCCAAGAAGATATCCCTATGCTAGATGTCCCCTCTGGTTCTCTCCCATGGTTGCCCTCCTTCTATCATTTCTATATGGCCTCCCTCTAAGATTTCGGTTATATTGGTAACCTTCATCTCTGCTTCTGTTGGGTTGTCCTTTCCAGGCTTCCTCATTTCTTGGGTACTGGTATCCTCCCCTACTAGAAGGGTAGCCCCATTCATTTCTTGGCCTTCTGCCACCGCCATAAGTTTGATTATAAAATTGCTTGGATCTACCACTTCTCAGCATATCAGACACCTCATTTTCATCTTCAGAGCTCTCTTCCCTTGTTCTGTGTGTCCTGCTTTCTACGACATTGGCATGTAAGTTATCAGTAGCCTTGGAATCTCTGGCTTTCTCTGGCTTTTCCTTACGACTTTTAAGTTCATTTTTTGATGGCTCAGTTACTGATGGTGAGGCATGTGAGACTACTGTTTGCCTCTCATTCCCCTGCATCTGTGTAGAGCGATTTTGTAGTGCAGGCTTTACTTGTTTAGCAGGAGAAACAGCAGTACAGATTTGCTCCACCTTAGGCATCCTGGTTGAGGTTTCATTCAGGACATCACATTCACTGGTCAAACCGGCCACAGAGAGAGGTGTGGCCTTAGAGTTACTTTCACTCATTGCTTTCTGAAGATGCTCCACACAGCTCGCTGCTGGAACTGGAATACTGCATTCTTTAGTCAGAGATCTATTTGCTGAGGGGCTAACAGCTGCCTCTGTGTCTTCAGGTGACATAACATTAGCTCTCACTACAGAATTTTCCATAAAACCTGGAAATGGGTATCCATACCAAAAGTGAGGGAAAAAAGGAGGTGCTATTGGAACAGCTCCTAAAAACTGATTGTGTCCAAATGGTGGGTGCAGGAACATGTTTTTTCCTCCTACTGACTCATCTTGATCTGACTGAAGCGCTTGCACTGGGTTCTCAGAGTTTACACAGACCTGTCCTTGACTTTCTGACACCTGAGCTGTAGATATCATCAGAGGCAATGATGGAGACCTAGTGTCAATTTGTGGACTGTGATCACCAGATTTGGCCTCATTTTGCATAGGAAAATGTCTGTCTGTTTGTGCTGTTTCATTTTCATTTGGATTTGGTGGAGCCTCTTGGAACCAAGGGTTGTGAGGGTATACAGGAACTGACACTTTTGGGTACATTCTACAAGAAGCTAGATAGGCCTGATGCAGAGGGTACAAGTAAGAATGTGGTGCCCACATGGGACAGCTGTATGCCTGCAAAACAAAGATGTTTCAGATGTAAAATATTACACTGTCAAATTAGATTTCACATTGACAAATTACTTATTTTGAAAGAGTTAAAAGTAATTTTGTATACAATATATCTGCCCTCAAGTTCAAAATAAGTAATTTGTCAGAGTTAAAAGTAATTTTGTATACAATATATCTGCCCTCAAGTCTCCTGACCAATTTTTATGGTTTTACAACCGTCTTTCTATTTTTTAAAATCCCTATTGCTATGTAAAAGAGAAAACAGTTTAAATATACAGAAAGAATGCTGTCAAAATGCTTAACACAAACTAACAAACCATAATAGCGAAAGTTCAGTTGCAGCTAAGCTTTTCAAGTGTGTTCAGGTTCTTTAGGTGTTTACTGAATCAGATGTTAAAAACACAACCCACATACCCATTCTCTCAAAATCCTGAGGGGGGAAAAACAGAGTTACCTCATCTTGAAACATGTCAACATCTGAAATGAGGTTAATTGCCAGATTTCAAAAACCATGTTTAGGCTAGGTCACATTTTACATCCCGTTAAGTGGATTCCTACCACCTAATATAAACTAACAGAAAATAGACAGTTTGCACATCATCTCCTGGGAGGATTACCATGTCTATGGAAGGAGCCTGTAGGACAGTAAGAATTTTACCAGTGGCTGTCTGTGGCATGATAACCAAAGTCAGGTTATCATGACATTCCAAATTAGGACATTCAGTGAGAGAAAAGGACATATCTGCCCTTTAAGGTTGCCAGCAATTCTACCCTTTGCCTAGTGAGCCATTGTACTTCAGCCAGTACATGTTCTCATTAGGGATGAAAACAGGTGATGCTTACCGGGTACTGGTTAACTAGTACCCAAGAGCAGCCCCCTGCTCAGAGCAGGCAGTGTGGGGGCCGGCAGCAATAGCCATGTGTGCAAACACCAGTGCCCCCCCTGTGCACTGGACAAACTGTCTCCCGTTCCCCCCACACACACATGGGGAGGGGCAGCCCAAAGCAGGGGGGAGGAGCAGGATCCCACTTAATTGGAAATCATATGACCCACAACCTGAGTTTCACACTTAGATCTAAGAAATAAAAGATTTGTAACATACATAGCAATAACATGGGATGTTAAGAAGAGTATAATTCGTTAATTGTGTAATCGACAAAAAAATTTATCGATTATACAATCGATAAGGGGTAGCACTCAATCCCAGCTCCTGCCAGGTCTAGCAACTACTGGCTCTGCCCTTCAAGCACTTGTACTGCAGTGCTGCAGCGGTGTTGATGCCGAGTCCCAGTATTAAGAGCCGATGCACAAGCAGGCAGGCAGGCTGAGTCCTGGCTTGTGCCAGGAACTGGCATCAATCCCTGCTGTGGCTCTGCACTAATAAGCACTAAGAGCCAGTGCAGGGGTTGACATTGGGTCCTGACATGAGCTGGGTCTGAACCAGCCCACTATAAAGGACAAATGTAGCACTTTAAAGACTAACAAGATGGTTTATTAGATGATGAGCTTTCGTGGGCCAGACCCACTTCCTCAGATCAAAATGTTTTGATCTGAGGAAGTGGGTCTGGCCCACGAAAGCTCATCATCTAATAAACCATCTTGTTAGTCTTTAAAGTGCTACATTGTCCTGCATTTTGTCTCAGGAAGGAGGCGTACTTATGCTGATGGGAGAAGCTGTCCTTTCAGCAGAAGTAGCATCTTCACTAAGCAATAGAATGGTATAGCTAGCTATAAAGCTTACGGTCACCCAGCCCACTATAAAGCTTACTGGGAGGAAGGGGGGGGGGCACGCAAGAGAAGAGTGTTGCATGTAGTTGATAACATTAACCAATAAGAACCCACTTATCGGCTAATCCTTTAGTCATCTATATTATTACGACTGTTACATTAACTATTGGCTAGCTCATTTTCTATTAATCAAACCAGAGACTTTGACTAGCTATACAAAGTTATCAAAATCACCAACTTCTCCCTTTTTGTTCTTTAATTACGACAGCCCAAGAGATCTTTTTTCCCCTCAATTTGGTCATTTAAAAAAAAAAAAAAAAAAAAAAAAAAAAACCATTTTAATCTGCAGATGAAGCCAAGTGTACCACATCTAGGATCACAGGTTTTATAATAAAGTTTGAAAAATTGCTTCCCCTAAAATTTTAAGGGTAGAATGGAAATACTGATACACCCCTTACTACAATGGTATACATAGTGTGTCCCTAGTCAAACAAAAATTGCTAATTAAACTGGATTTAAAATTGAGAAAATATATTAACATAAGCTAGGTAGAACAGGCAGGAAAGGGGTGACACAGTGTTTTAATATATGGGAAAATTTACCGTATAGTTATACCAGTATAAATATAGTAGTATAATTGCCCTTATGAGCCCTTATGGAATAATCCTGCCTTTTTCTAGTTTAATACTACTTCCGAAGTGCCAAAGGCTATACTGGAAAAAGGTATACTTATTCCAGAGCAAGTGTGTTCCCATGAGCAGTTACACTGGTATAACCATAGCAGTATAAATATGCTGATAAATTTCCCCACTGAGATTAGCCCTTACAAGGATGCTCCAGTTATAGAGCAACAGTTAGAAACCCACCTGTTAAGGTTATAATGGAAAAACCCAATATATTTTCAAATATGGAAAGAATTGGTTACGGTCGCACAACATTGTCAACTCTGTGAGCGAGTTGGGATCCGAGCAACTAGTTGACTACTCACATTTCCACTTCCTCTTGCTACCTCTGTATCAGAAGCTCGTGCTGGCTTAAAAGCTGGTTCCCCCCCAGCACCATCCCTTTGGTGCTGCCCCCTGACCTCTATCCAAGGCAGCAGCGCGAGGTGGGGTGGGGAGCAGAGGAGGCTGCAGTGAAGAAGCCTCTGCCCATGCAGGCTTGCCGCAAATAGAGGCTACTCCACATCTGATGGAGCAGCCCCTGTCTGCAGGGAATCCCAGTGGGAAACTAGGACCTCCCCATAAACAGGGACTGCTGGACCCAGCATGAGAATGGAATTCAGCAAACCCAGCTCACTTCTGGCTTGCACCCAGTCTGGGATTGCTGCGGCTCTGCATTTTAAATATAATAAGAGCCAGGCAGCTCTTGAAGAGCCACAACATTACTAGTCCCAGCAGCTGCTCCCGCTCAACCTCTGCATGTTAAAATTAGTTCTTATAATATTTAAAATGCAGAGCCACAGCAGGCACCGCTCCTGGACCCAGCTACAAGCCAATACAGAGCACCTTCCTTTATCATTTAATTGTGGTGTCAATAAAATTTCTATCAACTACATGATTAGCCAATTACCCAGCAGTAGGGATTGGAGCTTCCTCCCCATGATCCATTCAATCTTTAGTCTCTCAGCTGCCAGCCAAAACAGTCACAATTTTTGTGACTTGTGATCATGACATGAACATGTGTCCTCTGAAAACTGTCCACCAAGCTTCTTTCTACACAGGTCACCAAACAGCTACAGGATAGTAATGCTATTCAATTACTTGATTTGTGCTGGATTCAAATCAGCAACTCAAAAGTAAGCAGATCTATATTTTCCATCACCAGTACTGGCTTGACTACTCAATCCCCATAATAGTATCAGGGTTCTTTTTAAAATCAATCAATTTTTGACTTTTTCCTTATTAAAATCATCATTTTAGAATGGGGAAAATGGGGGTTAAGTAGAAAAATCTCATTGACAAGTTTGGATAATTACCTTCACACCAAGATTAAAGAAAAATCGAAGAATATTTTTATCTAGAGAAAATAAAAAACAAACATCATGTCAATTAACACTTTCAGAAAAATGCATGTGCACACTTGCCTCAGACCCAAACAACAATCTCATCCTGTACAAATTTTCAGCTACAGTTGTAGTAAATTTCCTACTTTATGTTGCTACTTCAGTCTACTGATTCAAATCCTTTTGGACTGATATAAGCTGCAGTTTTAAATTCTAGTTTTAATAGTTCAAGGAACCAAGCTCAGTTATGTTAACCAAATGAACACACTGTCCAGTCAGGTGTGGCATATTGTAGATTAACGCCTTGTATTTTTAAGGTGCTAAAATATGCATTCCCCAGATCAGTAAGAAAATGGCTAGTTCAAATTTCTGATTAAAATAACATGAGATTTCACCTGCTATTTTCCACTGCCATACCAGGGAACAGATGTCAAAAGTCTTTTTTTTTTTTTTTTTTAAATATAAGCTACATTAAAAAAAAAAAAAAAATCAGACTTTTCTGGATGCAAAAAAAAAGAAGAAGAATCAATTGTCAGATTATGGGCCATGAAAATTTCACAATAAAGTTATGAATATCGCCACTTAAAATAATTACCATTAATAATACAAGCTAAAAATGAACAGTATAATGTACTTATTTTTATATAAAGAATGGTAGCACAGGAATTGTTAACTCTTTCAACACTTATAGAAACAAATTGAAGGAATGTATTTGATTCTCCTCCATCCAGATTTTTAAATACATTTCATTAGAAAAAGTGCAGATTGTAAAGGTTTCTTACCTTTAGGCAGATCGTCACCAGTATTACACAGGGAATAAGGTGGCGCAATGGCTCTCTCCCCCTTTTCACTAAAAGGAAATCCGGGGAACAATGGGTCCTGATAAGGATTCAGTGTCGGAGGCAAAGGCATTAAAGGCTGGTTAACTGTTTGTAATGACAAAGGAACTCCAGCAACTGGAGCAGATGTTGCCTGGGATACAACAGAATCAGGTCCAGTTGTCGGGGCCGGCATCAATGAAGAAACAGGTATTTGGGTTGGAATACCTA